AGGTTCACATTTTTCTTTTGCTTAACAGCTTGTGAGAAAAGATCATGACAAATCAAGTTATTATAGGAGCACTCTTCCAAGAAGGAACTTCACAAGTGAGTCCACCATACTTCAATGGACAACATTTTTCTCACTGGAAAGTGCGTATGGAAATATACGCAAAGGCCTATGATGTTAAAGTCTGGAGAGTTATCAAAAAAGGGAACTATCCTCTACCGGCTGCTGCTCAACTACTTGTTGATCCAGAAGATATAGATTTATATATAGATGAGCAAATGACTGTTGTACAAGTCAACAATAAGGCAAGGAATTTGCTCTACAATGCTATAATTGGTGAAGAGTATGAGAAAATCTCCAGTTGCTCTCTAGTGGACAGGGTATGACCATTATAGGTTGTGTTTTTCCAGGGGTGTGGATGAGAGTAAGTGTTCAGTGGTGAATAGATTGGAAGAGTAGTGGTAGATAGTGTTTTGGATTTCATGTTGCTCCTCAATCTAGTTCCCTACCTCATACTGCAGGGCCATGATTTTGTTCCTTCTTCTCCTATTGAGGGTTGAGGTATGGACGAACCTAGTATTAGCATCCCCCTCCATCAGCTAGTTAATCCTAGATTTAGTTTTTCTAAAGACCTCCTCACAATTAAGAATAATGGAATATTCCTCTAGGAGTTGACCTTCTAAACTCTGCAGGAAGGTGCTGAAGAGGTAGACATGAGATTTCTGAATGCCACCAAGACTAGAAAGAACATGCTTATTTTTATGAAAAATATTGCCAAACACAATTTTGTTCTAGGTCAACACTTGGAACCGGAACTAAGTAGTTTTCCTTTCAAGACTACCACTCCCTTCAAAAGCTTGTTGGACAATGGTAGAGAAGGATGGGTGACTACCCCATATGGGGTCAAAACTAAAAGGTCTAAAAGAAGTATGGAAGTCACGAACCAGCCTATACTGATGAATTTCATCAACTGGAAAGCTAGGGGGGCTTCCTTTTTAGGCATTTGGCTTTCCCCTATTGGTTCTCCATTCCAGGAGAGGTCTGCGTGGTTTACTGGGACATCACTGGTTTTAGGTTCACATCTGAGTCTCATGAGTTTGGCTCTAAGGCTACGACAAGCATTTCTCTCCCGAGCCCTCTGAACTTTATTATTTCCTCATGTTGTTGGAGCATAGCTTTGGTCTTGGGCACTCCGAACCTTGCCAACATTTCCTCTAATTCTGCGTTGGTTGTCTCTAGGTGTTCGTGAACATTTTCTGACCCTGTCATTGTTGATGGGGTCCCCTCCCATGGGGGGCTAGTGGGAAGAAAGGGAGGGTGTGACTTATCTGGTGTAAGAGGAAAGTCAAGTGATATGTAGTCATTGTCTGGTGGCTCAGTACAAACTGGGCTTGCATGAGTGTTGCCAACCACAACTGGTGGCCATAGTTCAGCAAGGCATAGTTCAGGCTGGCTGTGACTAGTTTGGCCAGGTAGTGTGGTTTTTGAATGACTACTGAGATAGGCACTATCCCTATTGTGAAGTTCCGGAAAAATGCAACACCTTACAGAGCCATCTCCAACCATGAGGTTGGGATGTGGTCCATGGGAAGTGGGGTAGATGATACAGTATTGGGGTTGGATCCTCTCCTTGGCTCTGCATGCTGTTCTTGTTTGTTAGGTTGTTTGGTTTCTCCTCCATTGTTGATGTCTAGACTGGTAGTGGAGTTTTTTCCAACTGTTGTACATCCCTTTTCTTTTAAGCAAAGACCTTCACCATTGGGTTTCTGTGCATGAAGATTTCCCATCATTTGAGATCTTTGGGAGGCGATGACGTCAATCAAATCAGTAGAGGGGGAATGATGATGAGAAACATGGTGGGTTATGGTGTGAGAAGGTGAGTGAGATTGCGTAATTAAATCCCTTTCCCCTTGCCTAATATTAGTAATGCCAGTAGCGAGGTTGGACTTAGCCCCGTTAGTGGACCCCGAGAGTTGACTTATGTCAAAGTTAGGGGGTATGAGATTTGGGAATTCATTTTGGGTATTATTCTTACCCAATATGGGTGCGTTTCCCCTTTGGGCCGTGTGAGAGGCAGGAGAGATGTGTGTCGTTGGGGGGAACGTGCCTTGCATGTATTCCAAATTAGGCAGAGGCTGTAATTTGTGCTTTTGGCTTGGGTTGTGCGCTAGTGGCCCTAACATTTGTAACTTGGGCCCATATGGCCTAAGTTGCATGTCCCTTTGGGGACTGGTTAGACGAGGCCCATATGGTGCCTGTTGGGCCTGTCTTGTTTGGCCAATTTTTTTGCAGCCCTATCGCCGCCCTCATCCTCCTTGATGCTACTAAGGACGAAAAACTTACTTGAATCCGGTGGCCGCTTTCCGCCTCCCGGTCTGCTCTCTGTTGCCTCTGGTCGTCTATGATTTTTGGTTCCCTCCATTCTCCCTTGCCTTTTTGATCTCCATGAGAATTCCACCATTTTTCAGTCCACGCCCCCATGGGCACTGTGGGTCGTCGTCTACATCTTCGCGGCCTCGTTTGCCTCTACTGGCCTTTGATTTTGGCATTTTTTGAGCAGGTGGCCCAGTCACCCACACCCTTTGCATAAGATGCCCTCCCCTTCATACTCAATTGGCTGCTTATGCTCCCTAATTAGCACCATTGTTTGGAGGGGTACCTCTATGGGTACTTGGATATAGATCCGTGCGTATCTGCCTCTTAAAGTGGCAGAATTACACGTATTGATTTTCAGCAGCCTACCAACCCTTCTCCCGACCGTTTACAAGATCTCTCTATTGCAGAACTCTCTTGCTAATTGGGAAGCCAGATCCAGATGGTAGTGACATATATTTTCGATTTTGTCGATACGAAATTTGGTTCCCAATTCCTGACGGAGAGGAAGTTTCCCGTGATGAACCATGGTACTCTCTCGACCAGGTCATCATAAGAAAATACTGAAAAATCTTTCCTTGTAGGGCAATCATCATACTTTCTTCTTTTTCGAATTTCACCATAAAGAAATCCTAGCTCTGATCTATGAGTGTCAGTTGTTCGCTGGGATTTCATAGGTGCTACAATTTCAATTTCAATAGGTGGTATGGTACCTTTTTTTCCAAAAATCTTAACGATTATAGAGAATCGCCAAGGATGGTAGAGCCTTTTTTTTTTTGTTCTTGGCTGAGAATGATGGGCCTAGTGGCGTCATCAATGGTGGTTGATTTGGCCACTGCCTTGTATACACTTGACTTTATCAAGTTTTTTCCCTTTAGTATCTCCTTAAAGGTATTCATTTTTTCTTTTTGAGTTGGTTCAACTTCCATCGGTGTTGAACTAGTGTCCGGTGGATCTGGGGGATTAGTGGTGGGGGTGGTATTTGATCTTGTGCGAGGAGTGGGGATGGGGCCATCTCAGGGGTAAGAGAATATTTGTAGAGGGAGTTTTTCTCAGCTTTCCACAACATGGGTATGAGAGTTTCACCTAGTGGTACGCTTATGTGTGTTGAAAAAAATATAGTATACATGTGCTAATACTTAAATGATCATAAATCATATGCTTATTTTAATAAAAATGGAATGAAAATAAATTCAAAATACATGAATATTATCGCTAATGTTTATGGCTTTATGCAGGAATTCAATAATAAATTGGAATTCCTATAAAGTTTATGCGTTTTTTTCCATATACAACAATCTTATCTATAGTTTTATCACATGTATTGCTCACCTTTTATTTGGTGAAAACATCTTGAAAGTAATTTTACCTCAAGTTTTATTGGTGCTCAGGATGGCTACGAGAGTGCAATAGAAAACAGATCTAACTAATCGCAACGTAGTGTCCCATTACTTACGACTATAAAGGTTATAAACACGAAAGCATTTGTTACGAGGTCGAGGATAATATGTAGACAAATTAAAAATAAAGCTCTACATAATTTTGGAGGACATTTTAACATATTTACGTGATTGAATTAGTTTTACTTGCCAGTTACAAAAATTAAAACGAACAAAATTATTCTATGAGGATTTCACTCTATAAATTAATCTAATGTGAAAATGTAACACAGAACTCTTTGCACATATTTATGTGATTGAATTAGTTTTACTTGCCAATTACAAAAATTGAAATGAACAAAATTATTCTAAGAGGATTTCACTCTATTAGTTAATCTAATGTGAAAATGTAACGCATAACTCTTTGTACACAGTTATTTTATTGATTTTGATTATATTACGATAATAACTAATATAATAATGTGAGTGAATTTAAAATTACAACTTAACAAGAAGTGACATCAAACTATCAATAGAGCCAACAACTATACTCTACAACTTGTTTGAATGACCGTTATATGTTGAATTGTATCGTATTGTTACGTTAAATATAATTTTGTTTTGATTGTTACTTAAAATTTATTATATCGTATAGTTAAATCCGTCGTTACGAAACAAAGAAAACTGCCACTTTATGGAACGATCGGTTTAATGTGGTCGCGTCGTCACCTTATTTTTTTCCTCATCTTGACCTTCTTTGTTCTTAAATAATACTATTTTATCCTTTACCCTACCTTTTTATATAATAATTCTACCTCATATCTTACTTTTTATTTGTAATATTGCAAGTTTACTCGTTATTGTTGGCACATGGCATCATGAAATGACGGGAAACAATATAATCTATTCAATATTATATACATCAAAACGATATAATACAATACAACACTATAGATACGGTACATTATAAAAAGATATATAACAACCATCCAAACAAGCCATTTGTCCCAAACTATCAACACAATAGTTAAAACTAATATCTTAGAAAGAAAGCATAAGAAAAAAAAATTATGTTATAAAAAACCAGGAATATAGTTACAAGTCAAAATTAAACGGGGTATCACAGTCCAACATATAATCTCGTTATGTCTGGATTTGACGTCATTTTCAGGTGTTTCGACCAATCAAATTGTGTTATGTCTCTAATACATATAATACATTATATATAGGTAATAAAATGAAAATAAATAAATAATAAAACAAGGTGGAGATTAAGAAAATCTCTATTTTCTCAGGCAAACTAAAATATTTACACCTACATCTAAATGACCTTCTTCCCCATTGAATAATTGTCCGATCTCTGTGAAATCTTCACCAAATTCTGATCTATAAACCCACCCACTCCCCGTCCTTTTCTCTAGCTTGTCACATGCTATCTTCTTCCCCTAGATCTTCAGGTTTAAATTTCTTTCCGATGTGAAAGTGATAGTTTTATGCTATGTTTATGTGAATGTATTCAATTATTGGATTTGTTTGATTTCGGACTTAGATTTTCTTTTAAAGATCTAATTTTTATTAATCTAATTGTTTTTTTTTGCTTCAGATCGAAATCAGTCGAATCATTGAAAACCGGGTTCACTTGTAACGGTAAAGGTTTTGGCGAATTCATTCTCAGTTCACAACAGACGACGCCGTTTCCTTGCTGCCGGCGTCGACGTCCTTCAATTCCATTAACATCTCAGCTGGTGAGGCTTTTTTTTTTTTTTTTAAATTTGTTTGGGGAATTCGCGCTTTATAGTCCCTCAAATATCAACAAATTCTGATTTTGATCCTTGTGATATCTTGCTCTTGCTAAGCACTTTTGACCTTCAATTAATTAAAATGTGTACTTTTGATCCCGTCTGTAAATTTACACAATTCTAATGAATTATTAACTATTATATCATTTATTACCAATGTGTTCTGTCAAATTTGTACTGTTACTTCATATGTGAGAGTAATAAAGTTATATAAAAAGACATAAACACACGTTTTAATTAGTTGATGGTTAAATGTGCTTAGTCATATATCACAAGGATCAAAATTAGATTTACCAATAATTGAGGGACCAAAAGTGCTATTATCCCTTTTTTAATTATTTATAGCCTCGTAATTTTTGTATGTTTCACCAGTTCCTTAATGCTCTATTTTTATGTTTATTATCTGTCTCATTTCTATGTATGAGATCAGGTGATTGTGGGACAGAGCTTGTGTAACTTAGTTGAATCGGAATTTGTGTAGGTGGGAAATTTGGGAATAATCAATGGCAGCTCCAGGGGGACCTAGACCAGGGAATAGACCACCACCCAACTATAACCCTAATGCACTTGCTGATGGTATGCAAAATCTACAACTAAATAGACCTAACCAGTCACCGAGGCCTAATAACCCATTTGGGCAGCAGCCACCTAGTGCTCCTAGGCCTAATAATACACCATTTGGGCAGCAGCAGCCACCTTTTGCTGGTGGACCAGCCGTTAGTCGTCCAGGACCTCCACCACCTGGTGTGTTTCCGAGAGGTCCTAGTGGCGGTCCTCCACACACTGGATTGCCTCCTAATGTAGCTTCTAGACCAACTGGCCCTCCTCATGTGGCTCAATCTGCTCCTCCCTTTGCATCTCGGCCACCTCCTCCTGGTGCAATGCCTCCTTCTATTGGCGGTACAGCCCCGCCGTCTGCATTGGGTCCTCGTCCAGGGCCTCCGGGTCCTTTTGCTTCTTCGCCATTGACCACAGGTTCAGCTGTGCCGCCACCATCAAGCATTTCTAGTTCGGTTAGTAATGGGCCACCTGCAGGTGGGCCGGGAATGATGCAGGGTGGAGCACGTTTTCCTCCTCCAAGCAATACAATGAGGCCACCATTTGGAGCTTCTCCACCAGCTATGGTTTCATCTGGCACTCCTTCTCAGCCTCCGAGTATGCGCTCACCCTTTGGCGGTCCATCATCTGTCAGCACAGCACCAGTTGCGCCAGCACCATTTTCGGGATCATTGCAGAATGGGCCACCTCCTTCAGGTCCCTCTCCATTTGCAGCACCTGGTCAAGGCATGCCTCCACCCATGGGTGCCCCTTATGGAACACAGTCGTGGCAAATGCCACCCCATCAGGTTATCTTTATATGCGTATCTTACTGTACTTGTTTTGAAAGGTGAAATTTATGTTTTTTTCCATAAAAAAAGGTATGATAGAGTCATGTGGATATGCTATTGAAGGGACAAAAATAATAGAGTTTTCTTCAGATGCATGGTGTTAAGAATTTCCACTAATCTCATTAACCGAGTATAATTTATTTCATATGATCTTTGAAGCTGAGAGATAAGTTTAGTTCTTGCCTATGATAGACTACAAAAGAAGGAAGTCATAGGATATATATTTCTTTATCTGGACAGAAGTTTTTGGATCAACAAGTCACACGAGATGTGTTAATAATCAAATTCTATGCGTTTAATGATCTTTAGTAATCATCAAAATCTAGCGTTGAAGAGATGCTTCATGACCGTAGGATAGAAAGAATCAATAATATCCAGGAACTTGTGATTTCTAATTCATTTAAAGATAATTAGAGAAGTCTTTTTATGAATTTGTAATAAAATGTACCACTATGTTAAATAATTCTCATTTTGGTATTATGTGCATTATGTTGTTATTGCTTCTTTTTTCATCTTTCCTTGAGTCGAAGGTCTGTTAGAAACAACCTCTCTATCTTCTCAAGGTAGGGCTGAGGTCTGCGTACACACTACTCTCTCCAGACCCACTTGTGGGATTACACTGGCTTTTTTGTTGTTGTTGTTGTTGTTGTTGTTTATATAAATTTTCTTTTTATCTTTTTTCCCCATATAAAACTCTGAGTAATTGCTATTAATAAAATTACTTATTGGAGATACTTTATCTTTTAACTTTTAACATGTTGTTTGGAATTCTTTCATTATTCAAAGTTATTAAATAGTTTTTTTTATTATTGTTTATTTATTTTTACTCCATAAATAGAATTTATTTTTATTTATAAGTTTTTATATCTTTGCTTGGGATACGGACGTTCTTGAAAATTGCTAAAAAATTTCTTTTGAGTAGCATTTGCTTATTTATCTAAATTAATTCAAAGTCTAAGTAATGAAATCCTTCTATGAATTTGTTATCTAATGTGCCACTATTTTACATAATCATTATTTTAATATTAAGTATATAAGTATTTATCAAAAATAAAAATAAAATCTTAAGTATATACGTTTGCATAAGTTTGGCTGGACCATCTGAAAAGGATGACTGTCTTTCACAACTGAACCTACAACAACCTAGCTATCCTTTCGTAATTAGAAGAAGAGGTATAGCAACCTCACAAAAAATTTACATTTAATTCAAAAACACCCTAAAGTACATGGCACAATATAGTGTTTTCTTTAGTTTTTTTTTATAAGAAGTGTTTTTTCCTTTGTTTTCTATTGAAATTCTAAAATTCTGTGGATATTTTGGATCAAGTAGATTGGTTTCAGTTTGCATTGTATTTCCACTTTCATGTGAAGTACATATTCTGAGTTTACTTATTGACAGGGGCCTCCACCTTCTGCTATTCCTGGTTCGATGCAACCACCAAGTATGTATGGAATGGCGCCTCCTCTTCCAAATCAGGCAGTGGCTTCGATAACACCTTCTATTGGTCATACCAGCCCATCAAAAGTTGATCCCAATCAAATCCCGCGCCCAATTCCAAATGCCTCTGTAGTTCTGCATGAAACCCGACAAGGCAACCAAGCCAATCCCCCTCCGGTAAATTATCATTTCCTTTAAAGAAAGAAAACATTTGGCTATGATATCTTGCTTGGTTGTATTGGACTATTGCATTTACGTATGAACTATCTTATCTTCAACTGGTTATGCTTGCCTCTTAAGGGTTCAAATTAATCTATTTTTTTTGTTTTGGTTTTACTGCTTTTTCCTGATTTACTTTTATGCCCCACTTGAAGCCTGCCACAAGTGACTATATTGTTAGGGACACTGGAAATTGCAGCCCACGGTTCATGAGGTGTACTCTTAATCAGGTACTAAACTTCTTTGCATTGTTCTTTTGTCTAAACATAATTCTTTCCTATATGGTTTCTGTATGTATGCTCTTTCATCTTTCTATGGAAAGAAAAGCTTATTAACCATACATTTTAATTAATTTTGGTCCTTGCTGTTTGTGTAACAGATTCCATGCACTGTTGACTTTTTGACAACCTCGGCAATGCCATGGGCTTTATTGGTCCAGCCCTTGGCTCTTCCTCATCCATCTGAAGAGCCCCTCCCGGTAATGCACTCTTTGCCATCTATATGTTCTAACTTTAATAGCCGTACTCTGTGCTCCCTCGGGTATTAGCTAATACTCATAACCAAACACCAGATAAATTTAATCCGAAATTTTATACCGCGATTACTATCCTAATCCCACTAATCCAACGGTCCCTAAGGGAATTTAAGAAGGCTAGCTATATGTCTACTTAATTTACACCATTTGAAGTACACATAAAGCTGCAGTTAATAAACTTTATACCTGAATCTTTGTCTAGTGCAGATATAGTTCTGCCCAGATATTTCATATATATATATTTTATGGTTTGCATCAGTAAGGGTTATACAAGAGTATTTCTTGCTAAATGTACATTTACTTGAGTGAAGAAAGTTGGCTGCTGTTACCATAAAAAATTGTCAATGTCAGCATTAGCTATAATCTCTGATGCCAACCCTATTGTATGAACCTGTGGCGTGGTAGGAAGTCACTTGAAGTAGATGGTAGTAGTGACGAAGGCATCTTTTTATGCTGGACGAGTGTTTCGCACTCTAGTTAGTAAAAGTGTTACAAGTCTTGCTATCTAAGTGGTATGAAGAGCGCCCGGAAAATGGTGATACCATAGAAGGAGAGGATAGCAGAAAAACGGAAAGGTAAAACAAAGATGAACTAGTCTTGAAACTTTACGGCACTAGATAAACCGAGAGATCTAGAGATCTAAGTGATCAAGTGCTGGGGAGGTAGTAGTTCAGGAAATGGAATGCGCTAATAAATATTTGTTATTCTTATCTGTGCTTTTAGGAGATGGCAGTGAAAACGTAGGGATGATACTGGCTTTTGGATAATTAGTTGCATCTCTCTGGCTTTCGCTTGCGTACCTAGGTTGACAAATATATTGAGGATGTTCTGTAATGAGAAGTTACCTCATTGTGAACATACTTTATGTGATGAAGGGATATTCTTTCAGTTATCCTCCATCCAATAAATAAAAATAAAAATGAATACCTTAATAAAAGGGGAAAAACAAAGTGAAACGACTGCTGTTTAACACTTTGTCGTTTCTTTTACATAAAGAGAAAAGACTACAAAATTGGCCTCAGGGCTTTGTTCTAGCGGTAAGAGTACAACATGTGATGTGTGGGTTAGGCAAAGGTCACATGCTTGAACATTGCCACAGACAAAAGCCTGGTATTTCGGTGGAGAAGGGTAGAGGGGCATGCCCATTATCCACTGATTCGAACCATGCACCATGACTCTCGGGAGTTTCTCGGTTATCAAAGAGAAAAAAAATACAAAATTCGGTAACTAAACTAAAATGTATTCTCTCGTTTGTAAAAGTCACTATCTTATTTGAGCTTTAAATGTCTAGCAGCAGTTTCTTTCCTAGTTCTCTCATAACTTTATGCAATGCGGTTTGAGGTTTAGGAGGAACTTGTGAGTTTGCTTAATTTCAAAGTTTGGTTGAATTGCTTCACAAACAAAGAATTGTACCAGATAGATATGATGTATGGTGATGGGGGGCTGGGGATAACATCGTACTTTCTGTTAAATGCTATTATGAAAAGCTTCTGATTAGGGAGTAGTCAGCTTTTTCGACATGTCTCAATATGGATCCCAAGGGTGTTGAGGAAGGTGTTTTTTTTCACTTGGCTAACTTGCCAAGGGGGTAATCTTGACGGCCGAGAATTGGAGGAAGAGGAAGAGTACTCAGAAGAAGATGTGAACACCTCCTCTTACATTGTTGGATAGCATATTGTTGTGTGGTGGGAAATTCTGAGATGGTTTGGACTTGCGTGGGTGATGATGTATGCTAAGATGCACAGTTGACTGTAGTGACTCTTTGTGGTTTTCCTTTTTCTTATTGGTGGCCAAAAGGGACGAATTGTGATCCCCAGAGTGGAAATTGTTTCTATTAATCATCAGAAGTTCTAGGTTTATGCCGGTTATATATCTGTTATCATCTCTGCTTACTCCATTTTCTGAGCACATTGGAGCACTTTAATAATGTAAATTGATTTCTGTAGCTTACTGAAGGCAGAATGAATTAATTTGTTAGTTCTTTTACCTTCTTGTTGCTTTCCTTGATAGGTGGTTGATTTTGGGGAAAGTGGTCCTGTTCGGTGCTCTCGTTGCAAAGGCTATATAAATCCTTTTGTGAAGTTTATTGATCAAGGAAGACGTTTCATCTGTAACTTGTGTGGTAAGAATGAAATTTATTTATTCCCACTAACTTACTGTTATGTGATGTTTGGAGTTTAGAGCACGGCTCTATTATTTAGGGACTCAAGATTGAAATCCAACATAGCTAGGACGTGATGTTTTGCGAAAAACCACAGGACTCTACATAGAAGCATCAAATTTACTTTGTTCTAGATATTTTCTGTTCTAACTATTCTAACGAAAAACTTAAGCACATTTTCAGGCGTCTAGTATACATTTTTACTGGTCAACTGAGAACATGTGAGCCTTCTTACTCTTACACCTTGCATTTCATAAGAAACAATGAAGAAAAAAAATATCTTTTAACGTAGTCTTTTCTGGACCAACTTGAGATATAATTGCTGTTCGAAAGTAACATTGATATATACTTAGACGATCCTATAGGTTGACTAAGTCTATACATTAAGCCGGCCATAGAGCAACTTCATAAGTGGACTAATGTTATGATGTGGGGCAGTAAAAGGAAATAATCTCCGACTTTCTCTCTCTCTCTCTCTTTCATGTTGGGGACTCACGTAGACAATATGCGCACAAGCTGGCTTCAACATTGGCCATCCTATTTTTAGTGATCTGGTCCTGCTTTGACAGCAACACCTCTGCCATTTTCTATGGTATAGCTTGTATTTCCTGAATCACCCTTCCTAGTGGATGTGCATGATTGTGATATAGTAGAAAACGTTCAATCTCCTTGTTGAAGACCAATTGGCCAGTGTCCATGCTATTCACAGATTGCATATTTCCAAAACAACCGACTCTAAAAGGAAAATGGATTAAACTCCTATTGCCATCAGCTTCAGTGAATAAATCGAATGCACAACTTGAAATGTAGAACCATTTTCAATTTCCTAATGCTGCATTTTGAATGAAATTGTGCTGTAATGTAGTCATGTTTGTTGGCTTCTTTTTGCAGGGCATACCGATGAAACTCCACGTGACTATCACTGCAACTTGGGTCCAGATGGCAGGCGTAGAGATGCTGATGAAAGGCCCGAACTATGCCGAGGAACTGTTGAGTTTGTCGCTACCAAGGAATATATGGTTGGTACCTTTTAGAACATTGGTTTGGGATGTGATTACATGACTTTATAGAAGTAATTTCATATTAAGTTGACATTCGTGGCGCTGAACTTTCGGTTTAAGCATCTTTGAGCTTTCAAATTTACTCTCTAAACTTGTTTTAATGGTCGGGGAAGCTAGTAAATGGACCAGAATAGAGTGGAATGAAATACATAGGATTCATATTGCAATATCAACTAATTTGAAAATGAGGTTGTTATAAAAAATTACTCCCTCCGTGTCAATTTAGATGACACATTTAGCTTATTGAGGGAGTAATAAATAATAAAGAAAACACTAATTTGAGATTGAGGCATAGTGGATTGTAATTCTGAAATCTTGCAGTTCACAGCACCCTTTTCTATCTATTCCAAATGTCGGCTCTTGTGTTACCTTTTTAGCACCAGGTTGTTGCTATCTGTCTGCTATTCTGTTGCTGATTTAACTTATTCAAAAAAAAAAGAAGGGAAAAAGGAGAAGAAATATTCTACTGATGAGCATTCTTTTGGTGTCTAGCTTAGACTTGAGGAACAGTTGTGCTGTATATTATTCGTTACAAAATCTTTTTCAGCAGTGAACTCCTTAAGTAGTATAAAAATAATACATACAGAGAGAAAGCTAGAGAGGAATGTGGGGAGGAGGAGAAGGGTCCAGTAAGCAATGAATGGGAGATGTGAAATGTTGAACTCTGGAAGACTTGTCAAATTATTGCTCCGAGAATACTGTGTGATCGGTTGACAACAGAGTCAATAGGTTGAGGGTGTTAGTAGTGTGGACGAGTAGGACCTCGCATATAGAAAATTAAACTAATACTTCGACAGAGACATTTATTGACAGTTCCTTAATTCAAATTTTAACTTCATGAATTTTGCAGTAATAACTTGGAAGTTGTCTTGTATTTCAGGTGCGAGATCCCATGCCGGCTGTATATTTCTTCCTAATAGACGTTTCCATGAATGCCATACAGACTGGTGCAACTGCAGCTGCTTGCAGTGCGATCAGCCAAGTTATTTCTGATCTCCCTGTAAGTAGTTTTTGGTTATGCAGCATGCAGTTTTTGTACCTTTAGATTACAGAGATAGAAAAGTATTTGTTTTGTCTTCTCAAGTGGAATCATCATAAATATGTCACTGTTTTGTACTAAATCAGTGAGGTTAATTAGAACTTCTGATGTAGCGAAGCAAGTACCCGTTTTAATTTATCTGTTTGAGATGACGAAAAAGGTTATTGATGTGTATGATTTATGGAGAACCCAGTTTGTCTCCATCTGAATTCTGCGGTGTTGCGCAAATGCTGCCCGGTAACCTTGGTTTATCCAAGAGAGCGTTATGGTTGAGTGGCTGTTTTTTTTGTGTGTGTGGTGGGGGGGGGGGGTGTTGCTGTAAGATGAAGAGATTATGACGCGATAACCTGTGATTCACATCTCCTTAGTGATGAAGCAATGTCTTTTAATCATTCCAGAAGGTCTAAAGAAAATGATGAACATGACAAAAAGATTTAGGTGAACCCTTGAATGTCTTCAATTGAGGGGCTCTTTTCTCGGCATCTGGTGACATTTTTACTAGCTGAATGAACCAGAGGTGATGTGGTAGGTAAAGACAGCTACCTATGATCTAGTGGGCAAGTGGTTAGAATTTCGCATTCACTGCATGGATTAGGGAATAAATACTATTTGTGATATTATCCAGCTAAGCTGCATTTTTGTATTCGATTTTAATGCAAAACTTTAATTCTTGGAAAGTTTATGAGCTGTATTGACAACTTTTATTGCAGGAAGGTCCTCGGACTTTGGTTGGAGTTGCTACATTTGACTCAACTATCCACTTTTACAATCTCAAGCGTGCATTACAGCAGGTTTGACGCATTCAGATGAGTTTGGTTATGCTAAATTAAGCTTTAACATCTGAAATTAAAAGGAGCTTTGAAATCAGTGTTGAATCTTAATCAGTTATCCTTGCCTTTTTCTCTTTGTGTGCTAATGATGAATTGACAATTACTTTTAAGGGGAAGAATGCAAAACTAGTAAAATGGTTCTTGTTGGATTTCAGGAAGGTGTTGCCCAGATGATTAACTTAATGCATTTCTGAAAAAATTTCTATAAAAAACTCTGTGTTCTCATATCATCTAACAGAATTTCTATAAGTGAATAAAAATAGACAAATCTTTAACCAAGACATCTGGGGAGAGGGAGTTAGCAGCACTTACTAAAACAAAGTAAACTTGTCCTTATTCATTTTTCTTGTCTTGTCTGTGATTAAGTCATAGGGTGGTAGGAAAAAAAATTAGCCTTCACAAAAGAGTTACTTTATTGCCCTTCTAGACTTCTCTGCCTTAATTAGCTGCTCATCTCCTTTACTGCCTAATTGCTCTATTGCGCTTGATTATGCAGTTCTCTCTTTATTCTTCCTGGTATATTTGGATTCTATTTCACTTGTGCCATTGTTCTCCGATATGATTTGTTCGCTGTTCTTTTGAAATAGATTCTAAAATGGAATTAGGGTTGTGGAAAACGGTTTATGTTGGTGAAGTGCCTGTTTTCTGATAAGTTGATTCTGGATCTACCTTTGCAGCCATTGATGCTTATAGTCCCTGATGTCCAAGATGTTTACACCCCCCTTCAAACCGATGTTATTGTGCAGCTCTCGGAGGTTAGTTCTGCATGATGTTGACCAACTTTCTGTTCATTTTCCCCTTATTTAAAGCGAAACGACTAAGAATTTCAGTGCATCATGTGAATGTGGTTGCTTGGTTGTGTTTTCAGTGCCGTCAGCACCTAGAGCTTCTCCTAGAAAGCATCCCAACAATGTTCCAGAATAACAGGACTGCTGATTCAGCTTTTGGGGCTGCAGTCAAGGTACCAATGCTTTACATGAAGTTAGTTTCCCAAGTTTGCCTCATTGATCCATAGATGGAAAAAGTATTTTCTGCATTCCTTCCAAAATGTGACTAGTTAGCTCACCACGGTTGCGTGAGACCTTTCCATTCTGAGAAAGAGATTGGAAAAATTTATTATTGTGTTATGTTATCAACTCAAAAAAAAAAAATTATTATTGTGTTGCTGCATGCAGATGAATGATTGCAAGTATAACCATCAATCTGATGGTCAATTGATTCTTACTTTGCGTTTTGTTACTTCAGGCTGCTTTCTTGGCAATGAAAAGCACCGGAGGCAAACTTCTTGTGTTTCAATCAGGTAAGTTGTTAAGTGCAGTGAACTATAAGTATCATGTACAACCTTCTGTGTCTAAAATCAAGACTGTATCTTTCTCCGCGTGCTTGTGTTAAAAATGTTTTAGCTTTGATTTCTCCCTCTCTTGTTTGCAGTGCACTGCTGATTGGCTGTTTTGCTTTTATTAATTTATGCTTAACTTCGGTGTCTAATGCAATCTGCTTAAATAGGATGATCCATAGAAGGATTGCTTTCTATGGCACTGTCTGGTGCTTTTAATATTGAAGTATTACTAAGATAGCTATGTTTGGATTGTATTTTCAGTAAATTCATGGTTTTGAAACTCTCATCAAATATTTGGACTGAATACTTTGTAAAATAAAAGCATGCTTTAGGCAATTGCCTTATAATTCCTTTTTTCTCCTTGACCTGGTGCATCAACAAGTTCATAAGTCCTATGATGTTATAGTTCTTGGAAATGATCTGTTGCATGAGCTGGGCACCTTTGACCACACAAATTGTTATACATTTCTAAATGTTGGATGTACTTGCTATTTTTATAGTGCTGCCATCTACTGGTATTGGAGCCCTTTCTGCTAGAGAAGCTGAAGGAAGAACCAATGTATCAGCTGCAGAAAAGGTAAATTTGTTGAACCAGTTTTTAGTTCAGCATATATCTGTCCTTTAGCAGGAGCTTTTTTCACTTGTTTTCTTGTTCTGCCTTTTCCTTGATTGCTAAAGGCTTCTTGCTACTCCACCACTGGTGTCTCTCTTTTAGATTGTTGTGTATCCACTGTCCCCTAGTTTTTGCCTTTATATCATATTTTAATGTCCCAAAACTTTATACATATTTATCATGTTGGCTCTGCCATAAAATTGTCCAGTGTTGAATACATAAGAGACTTCCAGTATTGTCCTTAACATGCATAAGTGTGAGAGCTGCTGTGTTTTAATTGTCAACTTTTATGAAAGGGACAATAGGACAATTAAATAGGTATTTCAATTTATTGACATGAAAAATGTCTACTTGAGGTGATGCCAGACACTGTGAAAGAGGAAATGTTCAGTCAGAGTTATGGTAGAAGGAGAAGAAGCAGGGCGTGAAAGCTTGCGTCGCTAGCACCTGTGTGGGTCTTTTAGAGGGAAAGAAATAGGAGAGCTTTTGAGGGTGTATAAATTAAACTTTATTCAGTTGGGGAGTAGTATTTTATCCCTTCTTTCTTTTTAGTGCACCCATAAGGTTCCTTTTTGTGTAAAAGATTGGTTGTCGTTCATAGAAAATCATCTATTTTTGTAGGTTTTCTACTTTTTGATTTACTTCTCCTATACGGGCGTGCTTTTTTGCCCAAACATTAATAGGAGTATAATTTATTACAACAACAACAAACCCAGTATATTCCCACAGGTGGAGTCTAGGGAGGGTTGTGTGTACACAGACCTTACCTCTTCCTAGTGAAGGTAGAGAGGTTGTTTCCAATAGACATTAATATAATTTATTACTTTAATAAAAAAGGTATTTTATTTTTTTTAACAGAAAAAGTGAGCACCTTTTTACCAATCACATCAGCTGTCTATTTTTAGTTTCAGCACTTCTATCCAAATTCGAACTACTTGTTCATAAATTCAGCCCAGGCACTTGAGAAGTGCTTTCCAGCACTTGATGCTTTTTTATTGTGAGAAGGTAAAGTAATTTAATAGATAAACTAGCACAAAGGGTGTGTTGTTGCTACTGTAAAGTATCTTCAGAAGCAAAACAACCAAAATATGTCCTTTCTAATCCTGTTGGGCTTCTAACATTTGTAACACTGATTCAACCTCGTGTAGATGTCCAATCTACACCACGAGCAGAACAAAATTATACAGTTAGATTTTATTCATGATAGAGTTAGCAGTCTTAAAAACATCTTCTATTTCTTTTAGTCCATTCAGTCCGCCATATGCATGCTGGGATAGCATACCACCACCTGCGCTTGCTCTTCTGTAGCCCTGTTTTATACCAGCCCTTTTCAGCACTTCATGCTTAAAAGCCACTTAAATTCAGCTAGCGCAAACGGGCTCTAATTCCTTCTTCAGGTCTATTTTGGCCTTCAGGTGAATATGGTACATTCATATGACTTGGACAAGCGATAAATTTCATTACATGTCTCCAGGAGTAACGTGGATCCGAATTTTTGTAATGTACATATCCAGCACCAATGTTGCGATGAATAAAACTTTTCTAGCTTATCCCCCCAAAAAGAAACCATGGTATTGCTTATTCAGAAGAGTTGAATATTTTCCTATTGCAGGAGGCTCACAAGTTACTTCAGCCGGCTGATAAAACTTTGAAGACAATGGCTATTGATTTTGCCGAGTATCAGGTGAGTTACATAAAAAGCCTGTGGAAGAATGATTCATTAAGCACAACTAGCATGTTAAGAATATCTTTGGTCTTTTCATATTATGAACGTTAACATCAATTAATTAGATCTCAACTGCTTCAGGTCTGTGTTGACGTGTTTCTCACAACTCAATCATATGTAGACATTGCCTCCATCTCGGTCATCCCTAAAACTACTGGTGGGCAGGTAACTGTGAAGCTGTTACTATTTTAGCTTGTCTTCTCCCCGAGGCCCTTGGTTACGATGCACTTACTGTTAATGGAATTTATGAACATTCTTATTATGCAACTTACGATATATGATAACCACTTCACTTCATGTTTCTTTTGATATCTTTTATATCTAGGCTTGAGCTTTAAGGATGTTTCACTTGTGTCAGGTGTACTACTATTTCCCTTTTTCTGCTCTTGCTGATTCTGCCAAGCTATACAATGATCTTCGATGGAATATCACTAGGCCCCAAGGGTTTGAGGCAGTAATGCGTGTAAGATGTAGTCAGGTATGCTTCCCAGTTTTTACCCAGTTTTTGTGTCTTCCTGTGCTTCTTTCATAGAACTAGCAGCAACATACTGCATTTATGGAACTTAAGTGTAAAATTCATGTCGACCGTGTTTCATTTGCAGGGCATTCAAGTTCAGGAGTACTCTGGAAATTACTGTAAAAGAATTCCAACAGATGTTGATCTACCTGCGGTTTGTCTCTCTATCTCTCTTCTCCCTCCCCCCCTTAGAAGAAGATTATGCACTTCCCAAGCAAAAAGCACAAGCACAACAACTTAAAATTTAATAGATTAACTGTGCGCTTCTGTATTAAGTTCAAAGCATCTGTAGCAGATTTCTTGGGGAATACCAAGCATCCCCATGTTATGTTTGACTATAGTTGATAGTTTACTATGAGGCAAAGGTGCAGCCTCAATATTTTTATTTGTCTGATTCTCTATCGATTCCCTGCCGGATTTTCTAAGTGATTTCGAACGATGTTGATTTCTCCACCATACAGAGTTTTGTCCTGTTCTTTTGTCGAGTCTGGGGGTGGAGATGACACAACCGATGAAGCTGTAACACCATCTTTTTCAGATTGTCTTTATTAGGTTTTAGTTGATAAATACAAACTTCCACGGTCATTTATTTGCTCTGAATAATTAAGCTTGCCTGTCAATTCCCCTTTTTTGTGTGCATATCTACACAGTTGATTTCCCGTTGAATGTGCTAGTGTGACTGACTTCTGAATGGAGTGTACTCATTTCTCAAGGAGCTTTCCATTGTGCAGATTGACTGTGACAAAACAATTATGGTGACATTGAAACATGATGACAAATTGCAGGATGGTTCAGAATGTTCTTTTCAGGTACAAATTTGTTTGCATCTTCAGCAATGAATTTTTGGTCAATGCTGTTTGCAGTGTTACTGTATGTCTATTTTTCCCTATTTATTCCTTTTTCTTTCGTGGTGCAATTTGATAGCCATTTACTAGAGCTTGTTTCTGTGTTTCTAGTCTGCCGTTCTTTACACTACTATCGATGGCCAAAGAAGAATCCGAGTGTCAACTTTGGCTCTGCCTTGCACGACTTTGTTGAATAACATGTTTCGATCAGCTGACTTGGACACACAATTTGCTTGCATCTTAAAGCAAGGTAGAGTATACTATGTCTTAATTCACTGCCACATTCTTAAGTACAATATTTATTTCACAGTTCAGCCTCCTCATCCGCCTTCCCAATGGTTGGGGGGCATCTTCTTGTTTTCTTCTCAATCAATCCCCAAAATTTAAAGTGCTAAAATTCCTGGGATAATTTTATGTCTGTAATGTACTTTCTGCCTCAGTAAGGAGCTTTGGTTTCTGCGACTACGCCTCCTTTACCCCCTTTGTACCAAGATCTTTGACACTTCATTTTTTCTTACAATGTATGCATTTATTTAATTCTGAAATAGCTGCACCGGTTTTGCTCCTTTCTCATATGTGCATAGCCGAAATATATCTAAAATTAGTGCGTGGATACCTCCTCCAATCGACCAGGCAGACGTGTCCATGGGCACCATATTGAATCTGATTATTTCTGTAATGGTACTCCCCCATTTCTATAATCCCCATAACCATTGTTCTGCAGATTTGGAACAAATATTTGTTAGACAGGGTTGTAACTTTTGTGTTTAGATCTGTGATTTCGGATGCTATGCGGAAGCGAAACCATGAATGAACAAATTGAGGGACAAAGAAAAATAAGTGTCTTATCAAAAAAGAATTTAAGAAATTTTGCCACTGCTGGAATAAGTGGAGGTAACTGGTGTTTGTAGGATGTCACCTCTTTTATATCTTTTGGCAGAATGGCTAAATGATATTTTCCTTGTTTTCCCTCAGGGGTCAATTCATTAGGATGTGTAGGAGAAAATTAATAAATCGTATATTTTGCCGTAGAAATGCATAATTAATTAACTCCTTTTTTTTTGTTTCACATTTCTTCTAACTAGTAATGCCTCGGTGAACTTGTCACCAAACAACAACAACAACTACCCAGTAAAATCCCACCAGGTGGGGTCTGGGGAGGGTAATGTGTACGCAGACCTTACCCCTACCCGATAGGGCAGAGAGGCTGTTTCCGATAGACCTTCGGCTCAGAAAAACGGAAATAAAAAAAATAAGAAAACAAGAAAAGACAACTCATTAGTAACTCCAGTATAAACCGTAATAGTAACGAAAGCATAACAACCAAAAGATGAAAGACATGCACTAACAGTAACCAGTATCTAAGGCCCAGGGCTAAGATAAACAGCAAGTACAGAGTGTATTCAGCATAAACT